TATTAGTTCAGTCTCTGACTTTATAACAGGGTTTATAGTTAGTTAGTAGTTAGTTATAGTTAGTTAGTAGTTAGTTAGTAGTTAGTTATAGTTAGTTATAGTATATTTAGCTCAGCTTAATTCCCATCGTGCTCCTAATCCTGAATCAGCAATTCTACCCATGGTGACCTCACATTGGTCCCCACAAGGATCAGGTTTGTATTTCTATCCTTACTGAGACATTTCAATGACTTCCATTGATTGAAGTTCCTCCATTAATGCCTGAACCTGACGTCTACCTTCACCTGAAGTTAATTCACTTCTTATCTCTCCCTAACGTTAAAACCTGATCAGCCTTTGGTCCCAATAGGGCCTGTTGGACCTCAGAAGGTTAGTTAATATAACAAAAGAGCAAAACTCTAATTAACATGAAAGGTTTCATTCTAATAAAAGAATGTATTGGTTGGTCATTGAATGCTGCCCCCCAGTGGCGTCCCCTGGTAGCTGCGTCTCCAAGTGACGCCTGCAGAAGCTGCTGCTTTTCTTTTTGTTGGCTTCAGCCGTCCGACACTTTGGCTAACTCCTGCGGCTCTCCTCCTGCGATAGTACTTAACACATCTGCAAATTGATGACATTCTTTGATGGTGGCGTTCCGTAATGTGGCCTTCGCTCGGTTTGACTTGGCAGCTGCAGGGCGAGACTGATAGATGGTTGTGAGGCATGAAAGTATTTGTTTTTTTGTTCTTTTGGAGTCCATCTTAATTCAAGGAGGGAGCAGCCTTGTGAAATAGGTGCAGTTTAACGGAGAGTGGAATTTTGTTTGCTTTATGGTTTCTCTAAAGCTTTGGTCCTCTTGCCTTGAGACGCCTTAATAACTCTTTTATTTCCCAGTCAGGGTTAAGGTCACACAGAACCTTATCTGCCTTTAGCCTTTCTGTCTGGTTTTCAGTGGAAATGGAGGAAACGTGTTTTAATACAACTAAAACCCTCTAAACCAGTGGTTCCCAAAGATTTTCTTCTGGGCCCCCCTTTAGATTACAAAAAAAAAAGAATCAACTGGGCACACCCATCGTTCAACCAGATATAATAAACCTATACACATATTTTGTTTTCAAACTCCACT